TCACTTTTGAAAGAAAAAAACACACAAATAACCAGCAAAAATAAAGTAAATTTATGCTGCCAACTAAATTTTAGACAACTAAAGTAGTATAACATCCTTTTTATGATTTCCAATGGCAGGAAACATATCAATACACTGAGTAAGAGATGAATTGAATAAATCATGTTATATAGGATTGTCATCACTTGATTAAAACATAAAAATAAATGAACACATGACTCATACTACTTACTAATGGTAAATAATTTAAGCTATGAACACTTTAGAGTTATGGAAGAAGTAGACACTGAGAGGGAAAATGAGAATAGATTTTAGCCTTGAATTATCGTGACTGTAAGTCTCAGTTCAAAGAAATTCAAGTTGGTATTCATCATAGACTGAGTGATATCAGTTGGAGAAATATTGGAAACCTCAGAGCACTGGACAGATGTTTCATCTTAATGTGGGACTCAGGATTACGCATCCATGACCTCACCAGGGATCGAACCTAGCCCTACAGGTGAGCACTTCTGAGGACTCTCATACTAGGACGAAACAGTCGTCTAATACTTCCAGGTTTCCAACGTTCCTCCAAACGATGCCAATCCATGATGAATATCAACTGGAAAAGTCACCAAATTCTCACAAACCCCTAAATTAAGAGGAATTTGCCAGAATTATTGTCCAAAATGTGACAAGACAGGACAACTAAATGAGAACTCGCACTACTGTTTCTTTTTAAACAATTTTTCGTGATGTTTTATCTGATATCAATTCACAATGTATACCGTAGGCCTATCCTGGAGTAAAGACAAACGTTTTCATATTGCCTACACAACTGACCTACCAGCGTACTTAGTTCATGAAATATATCGACGTAAATTTCTTACCGTTGAACTAACTGATATCAGGTCAAAGGTAGGACATAAAATAGCAACCAGAAAGAAGTGCTACTTATAAGTAGTTTTTAACTTGTCGAGTAACTTTGACAGCCAATCAGGATGCTTGGAAATTGTCCAATAGCATTTCAATTATGAATGTCATTCACGCTTTGAAGTCTTAACTCTCTAATTCAACATGAATTACTTGCGAGAAAACAAAAACTTTCGGCTGTAGGTGGTCTGTTATAAAGTCAGTGTGATGGTTTTAAGAACTGGAGAAACTGGATAAATAAGTTACAGCTATCTCAGGCATGATATATGTCATATGACTAAGGATAGCGACCGATTTAGAGTATAATCACCCTCCAAATATCTAGCAGGTAGCGCTTAGTGGTAGAGCCCATGTTCAAGTAAACATCTTGACAGCTGGGAATTATGTGACTGATGACCCTGAATGATGATTATTTAATATTAATTACTGACTGAAGTTCACATTATGAACGAGGCGATACACACTACGTGTACAGAACTCCATATTCTGTACTAGACTATCCGAATACCCAGTTTCTGATTACTGACGGTTGAGTCAAGCTGTAATAATAAAACCATATTCCTATTTCGAAGTTCACTTCTACATGAGTAGACCACCTGATGGTAATCAACGATAGGTTCCAGTACTAAGTGCTAAACAAAATTCATCGATGGTGTGTATACATACTGATATAACTTCACCTGGTTGAAACTGTCTTAAGCACGTGATTCTGCTGATTCATTCTATTGCCGACTTTGCACATAAGTGGTCTGGTATTTCCAATCCACCCACACAATGAATCACGCAATTCTGACATCTTAACTACTTACAGGAGAACACTAATTCTATGCTTCTGGGATTATCATTATTATTATTATTTGTCCCTTGGGTCCCTAGTAGAACATAGGGCTTCAGTAGCATGTCTCCAATGCGCTCTCTTCTCTGAAATCTTTTCAACCTGGCCCACGACAGCCCACAACCTCTCATTTCCTCCTCACACGATCTCCTCCATGTCACCCTCTGCTCAGACGCCCAACTCGTCGTTTCGCATCTGGGTTCCACTCGAGTGCTTTGCCTGACGCGTGATGTCCCCAGTCGGCCTTCTCAGTGTATGCCCAATCCATCTCCACTCCCACTTACACTTCCTTCCACTGCATATTTGTTGGGTGATAGGTTCTTGGTTGGTTGGTTGGTTGGCAGCCAGCCAGCCAGCCAGCTAGAGTTCCTTGTTGCCTATTCTTATTGTTCTGGCCATCTGATGTTCAGTGGCGGGCCAGCGTAGGTGGCAGTTGCTGATGACTGTCTGTAGTTTATTGGAAATGCCTTTCGTAACGCGTCGCCAAGTCTCTGAAGCATACAGAAGCACTGACTTGACTGATGTTGGTGTTTAAAATCTGGATGTTGTTCACGCTTTATGTTGAGTGCAGTGCAGAGGATCTCCACACTGTTTTCAGGTTGATGAACGCCTATCTTACTATTTTCCGATCCTGGCTTTGACGTCGTCATTTGTGCCTGTTCGGTCTGTAGTTGAGATGGTGCTGTTTAGGAGGGTGGGTGAAAGAGACTACTTCCTTTAAGTTTCTCCCTTTGATGGTGATTGGAGCTTGTTGTTGCTGGTGGTGGTGTCGGTTGGGTATCATGATCACCTCTGTCTTCCCTATATTCACTTTAAGTCCTGCTGGTGGGATAGTGAACAATAATGGATGGATTTCACTCAACATGAAATTGTTTCCGAACTATAAGTCATACATAAGTGGAGGAGGGGTCGATCGAAATCTCCTGATCCTAGCTATACAATATTGTCACCAATGAAATCATAACTAAAGTAAATTTTGAAATGAATAGAATAAAATACTATGACTGACAGTTATCAGAGATTATCATTTTTCATTTTGCCATTAATATAACATTATACAACAATACTAAACCCAAGACATCATCCTAATTAACTCCTTACATATCTGATATTTCACCTTTCTTATCAATCAAGTAAAGCTATCACAACATTCGTGAATGAATTTTTTAAGAATAACAAGCTTGGTTGCCAAAAAGATAGATTTGTTGAATTATCTTTACTCCATAAAAATTAATTATTGACTGACCAATATAAATGTGACGTTGAAAAATACCTCTATCTGATTTGAATAAAACTTAGAACTTCTTAGAAAAACTATTCAGTCACTTACGTTGAGGTGGTATCTGTTAGGTTGGTAGTGTAGACAGAAACTGCTGCTGGAAAATAGAACTCATGTGCAGTAGAAGTGTAATACACTACCAATAAGTTTTCGAGTTCATTTATTCACTTCGGGTAATGAATATCTAGACTATGACCGTATTAGGGGACTCAGGAGACAATCCATTGAATGAATAGCTTCAATTACCTACCACTTCCTGATTTTTTGTTCCTAACCAAGTAAAAATTATCTTCAAATAGCAGCTAACAATGCAATAGAATGATGACTGAATTAGAAGGAACCACCTGAAGTAACAAACTCTTACCACAAATCAAACTCAGGACCTACAGATTTCACAATGAACGAATCAGCCACTGAATTATTGGGTCCGATTTCAGTGACCCACAGCTCTCTACTCTTGTCAATTCAGGATGTAGCGTGACTATCCACGAAAGTTTTCAGGACCCAACGGCTGTCCAGTGCTCTCAGGTTTTCAATGGTTGTCCAACTGATTTCAGTCCGCGATAAATACAATATTAAAAGTTAACCAAGTAGTATTAATTTGGAAGAAGGCTAAACAAATAAATGGCACCAACTCATGGGACTGATAACTACTGGCTTGGGCCATGTAGGATAGTCCAGTCCACCTTTTTTTATTATTCTCTTGTCATATACTTTATCTAAGTTATTGCGACACTTCTATCCCCCTTCTCTTCATGTGTTTCTCTGACGTCTGGAGACGTGAATCCGTGCATTTCTATGAAAGATCCCAAGTTAGTCTGTCTCTATCTCCCATCTGATGATCAGTTACTTTTTAATTTATCATTCTTCTCCAGTTAACATGATAGAATGTTATCCAACCGATAGCCAATGAAAATTAGTTCGTTTATGACTATCCATTTCATTTTTATCCAAAAAAAAACAAACTATGTGATAATCATTTGTTAAATATCACTTTTCATTTTTCACTTGATCAACATTCCATTCACAGTCAACTAAAATAGCACGCCTACTGAAATACTCACAAACTCAAAAAATTAAACAGAAAAAAAAATGATTAAAGTGATATATTTTAAACCAATCATAAATGACTCATAAGTCAGTTTAGAATTCTCTCCACTTTTCACACACATACGTGGGTTATACGCCGCACACTCAAACTGACATACACACACAACAGATTCTGTGCTCTTCTTTTTGTGGAGATATGTATATAATATCAATAAACAAGCATATTTCAAAAATTATTTACTTACTTATTACTTACATGTGTGATGCACATATACACACAGACATACGTACAATTATACTCATTTATGCACATACATGCGTGCGTATGTATATATGAGTTCATGTATGCATGCGGTGCACTTCAGAGATCACTTTCTTTAGTGTAAGTGATTAGTGGAATGAATAGTTAATTATTTAACTATTTATTCTCTATATCTAGTCAAAATAGTAAAACATTCACAGAAAGTAAAAAAAATACAACACGAAAAAGTCTTAATATCAACTTTTTTTTCGGTTCAAGAGCAAACCTTATTATCTGTGATAATTATTGTTGGTTACGGTTAGCTGGATAATTTAGCCAGTTTACTCAGATCATGAATTGATTATACTGTACATTACGCCTGTATTTACATTATGCAGAAATCATTTTATTGGTCAAATATATGTATAAGAATAATTCAGTTGTGAGATGAGGATGAAGTGATCATTGAATATTGAACTGTTCAACTTAACAACACACAGATAAACAAACAAACTTCAAAATATAAAATTCTTAACATTGTCATTTTGTGTTATAAAGGCTAAAAAGGTGTTATACTAACCTTGAGAAATTGTTCCTATCACGGATTTATTATATTCAATTTTGTACGAGGGGAAAATATTGTCACGCTTTCAACAAGATTTACTGTAGTAACTAAGAGAAACATGCGTTGGTTCCAGCGACGTAGTAAGAAAACGTGTTATGATAATGAGGTAAGTAATACGGTTACCTTGTGGATATTGAATCTATTTACATATTATCAATAGTTTTATAAATATATTTCAAGGAATACTGAAATATAATTCATCGGCGGACTGCTTAAATGTTGGGCTAACAAAACCTTTTGCTTCCGAATATATTTCATTGAATTCTTCCCTTTCAATTTGTTTTAATCTGCTAAATATGTCTTCGGAACGTATCATGTACTTTAGCAAGTTTTTAAAATGTTTTCAAACTGTCGTTTTTCAAGGTAAGAATAAAACAAAGAAAATTTTTTACTTTGGATGGAAATGGATACATAAATAGTTAAAAATACAATACATTACTATTCTTAGGATGCTTATACAGAACTGCAGATTTATTATGCTGGCTGACTGGGCTACCACCACCGTAATTATACTCGATTTTGTATTCATTCCTAAATCCAGACTGGACGCTACTGTAACACAGGTTACCCGTTTCCTAATAGTGTCTTTACTACCGTTATTATTATTATTATTCAATTTTGAGGGAGTTGTAGGGATTTGGACTGACATCAGTTGGAGGAATAAAGGAAACCTGGGAGCACTGGACAGCTGTTTCGTCCTAGTATGGGACTCCTCAGCAGTGCGTACCCACGACCCCGCCAGGGATCAAACCCGTGACCTTCAGGTTCAATGGTCAGTACTTTACCATTGAGTCGCTGGGTCAGAATCCAATGGTCCATATTTCCAACTTCTGGTAGCTCTCGATACAGCGTAACTCCATCAAAATTCAATTGAACTGGTGCTCATTGGTGACTAGCTTCGAGAGGTATTCCCCAAGTTCCAATGAGAAGTTGTGACCGGTGAGGGCAAAGCCTGATGGTCGTGAGGACAGTTACTCAACGATGACATTGGCTGGCGATTGCGCTATATCGTGAGCTAACAGAAATTGGAAATATGGACCATTGGATTCTGACCCAGTGACTCAACGGTAAAGTACTGACCACGGAACCTGAAGGTCACGGGTTTGATCCCTGGTGGGGTCGTGGGTGCGTACTGCTTATTATAGTTATTCTTATATTCATGGTGGATATTGGTTAGCAGTAGGATCCAGGATGGACGTTTCATCCTATTTAGGACACGTCAGTTGAATTTACCTGCCTCTTAGTGGGTGTTTTTGTTCCCACTAAGCCTGGAACCTAGGACACAATCATTTGAGACATGAGAGCGTTATCCACTAGATCACGAGTGAGTCACGATAGCCATTCCTTGTACGAAGGGTATAGTATAGTCATATCAAAGCTACTACTATTCTTATCACTGAACATTATGAAGTATGAAAAGGGAAACATATTGCATAATCCACTCGTAAGACAAATTTCACCATGAGTGTATGAGTAAAACCTGAACAGTACGGTAGATTGCGGTTCCATTTTATCTAAGTTTATTTGATATGTTACACAATGAAACAGGATTATATTTTACTTGATTACACTCTCAACACAATTTATTGTCCATAGACAAATCAAGATAGCTCCATAACTCTAAGACAGTTTGTATAATTCTAATTCTCTCTCTCTCTCTTTCTTTGAGATAAACATAACAGAAGTTTCTATATATCTAGAAAAGGTGTAGAATCATTCCTGTTGTATATGTTTTGGTGTTGATTCAATAAACAGAGATTCAATTAACTATCTCTCCCACCAGTCAACTAAGTCAACGTGTTATCCAATCCTATTATGTGATTATGTATGCATAGCTATGGTTGAGCTACTTTCTAAGTTTATTATCTTAATAGGATTTATCCATTTTGAGTTAGATGAGTTTTTCTTCTATGTTAGCCTAATTGACCTTAGTCAACTACTTTGACCTTCAATGGTATTCTGTCAATCGATTACAAACTAGACTAATTTAACTGAAAACCCAACAATATCTAAATTCATTGAAAGGGAACAAAATATTAGAAATAGTCATAAAGTAAAAACCAATCATAGAGGCCAATTCATTGAAGGTTAATACATAGCAACTAATCACCACAGATGTATACACAATGTAATGCAACTTTCTCGAATAACAATATCGATAGGACTTATATTATAGTATTATGTAAGTCATACGATAAATAAGTTAGTAAAGAAAACGTGTAAAAAACTGTGAATTAGCTGGAAAGAGTCTATGTGAAGACAAGATGATGTAACTAAGTAACAGTGAAGTTATTTGGGGATAATGTGATCAAGTAACAGTCAGCGAGAGTTTATTTGTTCCTTGAGTTCCTACTGGAACATAGGGCTTCACTAACATGTCACCATTCCACTCTCTTATCTTCAGTCTTTTCAACCTGGCTCCACCACTGACTACAAGCTTTCATTTCTTCCTCACACCATCTCCTCCATATCACCATTAGCTGGGATGCACAACCCGTCGTTTTCCATTTGCCTTCCACTAGATGGCCTAGCGCGTGATTCCCCAAAACGATCTTCATAGTGTATGTTCAATCCAATCCATCTCCACTTTCTTGTACATATTTGCTGGATGATAGGTTGTTGATTGGTTGCCAGCCAGTCAGCTAGAGTTCCTTGTTGCTTATTCTTATTATTATGGTCGTCTGATCTTCAGTATCCAGGGTAGGCAGCTTCTTTATGAATAAATAAATCATGTTTAAAGCGTTTGATGGCTATGGCCTCAGTGAACCACCTTGGTGTAATTTTTATTCAGGAAACTTTCATTCACTTATGTATGTATAACTCTGGAAATTGTCACTAGTTATTTATCTCCCCTGAATTTATCGTTATGAATTACCATTTGGCTATGATTACTTCTATCCATCTCAACTACTGACCGATATTCTGTTTCCTTTTGGTGAACTAAAGTATTTTAATGTCTGTTTAGTAACTAGCAGTGAAATCTACGATACGCGTTTCGTCCTATTTAGGACTCATCAGACGAATGTATCTACCTTCCCGGGGGGCGATCGCTTCAAACGCCAGAGCATTATGCGCTAGACCACCGAGTTACGATAGCCACTTCTAATGCAGTGGGTATAGTTTACACGTTATTACTTGTATTTTCCACCATTAATGTAAAATTGAAAAGACAGACAATACTGAGGGATCTGCACAGGAGCTCACATGCCAGCCAATAGAGATCGATCATTTCGGTCCAATAAGTAATGGGATAATACAAGTAACAACACAATCATTCACTAACTTCATCAGTACTGAGAAGATATTACACTTCACTGTTTCCACTTACTCTTGGAGTGTATATAGGGTTCGAATCCAAGACATTAAATTTTCACCTATCAGCTGTTGTTCAATAAATAATCTTTGATTCGAAAGGATTTCTGACAGGTATACGGACAAACAGTGATTGATAGCCGGGAGGTAACACCAACTCCACGTTATACTGATCTTCTTGAGTAGCAGAGGAATCCAGGACGCGGGTTTCGTCCTATTTGGGACTCATCAACTGGATGTACCTGGTGTCCTTACCGAGGTTCGAAATCAGTACCCTTCGCTTCAAACACCAGAGCGTTGTCCACCAAGCCACTGGCTCACGGTAGGCACCATATCACTCTCTGGGATGGAGGTGAGGAGGACGAAAAGAGAGTTCCACATTTCTTTACTAGTCACCATCATGATTATCCGGCAATATCTAGGTATCCATATAGCAGCACATCTGCCAACAAAGCTCAAGCAATTCGGCCCTGCATAGCGACCAGACATTACAAGTATCATTACACCAACTTCATGTTGTCTAGTCCTATGTGCTGATGGAATTCTATCGATCATTTTACAAGCTAAAAGACTCACCAATTAATTCCCTTGGATTCTGTGGAATAATTTTTATCTCGATTAAACTATGTATACATAAATACATCTACCGATATAAACAGTTTGATAAGAAATAGAAATACTATTCATGAATTATTTTATTTGTTTAAATTTTAACTTATTGATCAATATTCAATAGTAATACTGAATGTTACACAGAGTATGACCTAAAGTAGAAATGACTCAGAAATTGAGTGATTTCTTAGTGTATATACACTATCAAACAATACAATGTTTGAATTGAATTAACTAGAAATTAATTCAGTCTGGTTGTTATCATAGCTAAGATTTCATCATAAAATCAATAATCGAGTTGTACACTTCTTATTAGCTTTTGTTGTTGTTTTTTTTCTGTCATTAGTATACCTTTTTGTTCAAATTAATTCGGTATTGATTTATGCACAGATGACCTTCAACACAGGTGTATTAAAACACCTGAATTCTAAATATCAAATTGTTATTTCTAAAATAGTTTAGTAAAATTGAGTATAAATTAACGTCTAACTTAGTTAGATTGATTTGGATTGTGATGAGAAGTTCTGACTGGGATAGTAACTTGTCACGAATTCATATGACAGTTGGGTAAAAACCTTGATGATTGAAAATGAAATAAAATTCTGGTCAGTAGTCAGGTCTCTTCGGTGGGTTGGTAGAGCACTGGTGGTTCGAGCCCTGCCATAGCCTGGATTTTCACTTCATCTTCAGTCATCATAATCATCATCATCTAGTATTATAGCAAGTCTACCAATCCATGGTTGTCTGAAGTAGTCAAAATGATAATAATAATAAGGGAACGGCAAATTTGTTAAGCCTAAGCCATGAGATGTTATATCAGGAGGCTTCAGTGACTTGAGATAAGTGTGAGCAATGAGAATAAGGAGGAAAGGAAGGAGAATAGTTTACAGTGTTATATGAAACCGGATCCATTGTTGATTACTGAATGAGCTTATGCGTACAGGTAACTAAGGTCATGGGATTCAGTCATTTTATAGCAGACATTATTGTATTACAGCCTTCTGTGTGTTAGATTATTATTATTATATTATTAGTCCCTTGGATTCCTAATGGAACATAGGGCTTCAGTAGCATGTCTCCAATGCGCTCTCTTCTCTGAAATCTTTTCAACCTGGCTCCACGACAGCCCACAACCTCTCATTTCCTCCTCACACGATCTCCTCCATGTCACCCTCTGCTCAG